TTTTGTACCCATTGTCTTTGAAACAAAAGAGTTCTCTTATGGAACGGGCCATCGGTTTTGATATGTTGGGACGCGAAGGGCGTTCAGGCTGAATGGGTCCCTCTGTCCAGCGGTTGATAACAGAGCGCCGCTCATTGAGGTGTGATTTCTGTCCCTGTTGACTAGCACGGCTGCTATGTACAAGACTTTAAGCACGATAGAACGGCTGGCGTTTCAGGAGAAGCAAATTGCTTATGTATTACAAATACGTCAGGATGTGCAGTTCCTTGGCTTTACAACTACTACCATCGACATTTTCGACTTCATTGCAAACAGAAGCATCCGAATCGATACTAATAAGCAATCCAAATGACAAGAAATGGTGTATCCTGTTAGGTTAATTTGGAAACGCTGAAATCTTCCAAGCAGACAAACGCAAAAGGTAGAAGAGTAATTTGACCATGGTACCAACAACGCACCGAGATGACGATGGAAGGGGGGTTGAGTATTCGTTAGTGATATGGAAAAACATAAACACTTGACAAGGCTCAAAATCAGGGATGCAAACAATTTCGGACAACAATAAAGGCCTCGGAGAGGGCTTTAATAGAAACGGCGAGGCGACGGATTTCCTCCAGGTCGGCAGCCTTAGTCAATTGTTGGGAGCAGTCAACAATCTTCCTGTGAAGAATGGACTCAACTGATTGTAGATTAATGCTTGTTTCCAAGGATCTACATTGCATACAAGATTTATGGTACACACATGTTCATTACAAAGAAAACGAACAAGTTCAAAAAGTCACATACCCATTTGTCGGAGCTTCAGACTCCACGAACGTTGCAGGAAGTTTTGGAGGTGAAGGTGAGGTTTCGTTTTCGTCGTTTCCATTTAACTTAGAAGGCTCAATTGCGGCAGCCCCGACCTTCTGCAAAGGCTGGATATCGACTTCAGAGCAGCCCACACAATATAGGGCTCCATCCTTGCTCATTAGCAGTATGGTCTAAAAAAACAAATCAAGTTGCAAGTTAACACGTAAAGGGAATGCCAGTAAGGCTGTGGTAAGCACACACATCGCAAACTGGACAACAGTCCTCAAGCATCCTCCAGCCCTTAAGAAGGTATTGACCTAGCAAGGAGGAGATTTTATCGGATCGTTTATGTCTTCTATCCCTCTCGGCTGGCGTCTCTGTGCAAAGTTTATCCATCCCAAAACTCGAGCAAAAACACAAGGTGTTAGCGATCAGAACTGAACGGACCGCGCCAATCTTCGACAATTGAAACTAAAAAATCCTGCAAATATCTCAAGGCTTAAAAATATGCTATTGCTTAAGCAACAAGAATCACGTTCCTACTGAAAGAAAATTTAATGTTTGATCACAAAACCAATAAAGGCACGATCAGACAATTTGAATAACCTGCATAGATTGTAAAGAAATGGGATGCACATGAAAGCTTCAGATTATGAATTGCTCCAACAATGCAGAAATTATTAATCATAAATGGGTCATTCATTCTTTGCATTATTACGTGGCTTGCAGCTTCCTAGTTTTGCTTTGAAAATTTAGGGAGGACTTAAGTTGGAGCTACAATTAAAATATTTATTCATAGCTTGAAAATTGGTTTGATGCTTTGTTAATTCATCTAATTGCTTAATTTTTAGCTTTTCGAGACTTTCACAAGGTAGAAAAAGGCAATAATTGGGGCTGAATGCGCTTGGCGCGGTCAAACCATGCGGACATGGACTAGATATATCTTAAAGTGACCACCAGACAACATGTAAGAAAGCATTAAATTATCGTCAGTTTAACATGTACTAGTTTTTAAGTTGATCTCAATGGGTGAGAAGCAAAAACCGAATTGTAACATTAATCCAGTGCTTGAGGACCGTGAGGAATTCCTCCCTGGATGATGTCTGCTATTGGGTTCCTCTGTACTTCTATCCCCATTCTTCCTGTAATCAACGCCCAATAAGTCTACTGCAGCTAACGCTCTCTTGAAGTTCGTGGTTCAAGGGTGTGAGGGTGGGTAGGCAGCTCCTACAGTCAGTCACTTTGG